GCTTTGTGTATTTATTCTGCCATTGTAGTGCATCTAGTGCAATTATTAGGATTGTAATTTTCAGAGCAGACAATTATCGCTGTTATGTCATGAGATTTTTTGTTCATGAAATAAATTCTTGTGGCCATAGAAATCGCGATAGATGTGGGACATTATGTTCTTTCGATTTCTGTTTTAACTCGTTATCACGCGACGGAAGTTTGTCGAGAATTTTGGCTGCAAAAAAGGCTTTGACTAAGGAAAAAAGTGGTACCTACATTACTTTTTTGAGTTCTATTAATCAGCGGGCATCCGATGGCGTAATTCATATTTCGTTTTCAAATGGCGACATTTCTAGCTAATTATGGCACCGGAAGTGCCGTTGTTTTAACCACTTTACTCATGATAGTGATTGGCACAGGTGTCGTTTGGTAAACTACAGTGTTTTTACTTGTCTTCGAAGTATATTTCATTTCGTTATTAGATGACGATGAAATTTGCAGTGCGTTCTTAAAGACACTGTAGTTACGTAATATAAAACTTTTAGTGAAATTTCTAAAGAAGTTTGGTCTGCTGCTATCAGGGTACAAAAGTGTATTAGCTCTAAATAGGAACACTTTAAAAAATGATAATAAAATTGTTTTAAATATTCAAGCAGTTTTATTATACATAAAAAAAATTAGTAATACATCTTTTATTTTTAGTTATAAAATATCTAGTCCTTCAGAAAACGAATTATATCATACTCCTCCCGATAGTATGGACACGGCTAAATATGCCTCCGAGAGTTTGTTACCATCAAAATCGCGGGAGAGATACGAGACTACATATCAAAAATTTATGGACTGGAGACTTGAAAATAACACCAATTCATTTTCAGAAAACGTATTATTAGCTTATTTTCAAGAATTATCTAACCAAATGAAGCCGACTACATTATGGTCAATATATTCCATGTTACGGACAACATTAAACATCTATAATAACTTGAATATTACCGCATATGCTAAATTAACCGATTTTCTAAAAAGTAATTCCTACGGTTTTAAAAGTAGAAAATCGAAAATTTTAAGTTCAAAACAAATTGATGAGTTTCTCAAAAACGCACCTGACAAGGAATATTTATTTATGAAGGTAATATTTGTAGTCCAATTTCTGGTCATACTTAACGCCGAATATGGATCACCAGCAGGCTTTAAATATGCCATATTTGTTAGGTCTTAGAATTAGGTTGCTTTAAGAACAGGCCAAGCACGTCATCAGTAGCGTCCCGTCCACAGCCGTTGGATTGGTGGATCACCACAGTTATTATTATTTTACCAACAGCAAAACAAATTCATAGGCGTGCAATTGTTTACTATGATTATTATCTTTTGTATGATTTAACATTTAATTTAATTCTTTTTTGGGAGTTGACGTATAGTTTACCCTAGACTCAATTTTCTTGCAAATTTTGATAAAATGCCATCTAGTCAACAGTGTTCATCAGAATATCTTGATAGAAGTCGCTGTTTCTAATGTGCCAAGGATCATCGACAAAGTGTCTTAACACTTTGTTCTGGAATCTCTGGATTATTAGGATATTAAGCCGATCATCAAATGCCGCATGAACATCACGTCCTTACTGTAGTTATAGTGAGTACGCGAGACGAAGCTTGTGAAAAATGAGCGTACCTATTTACCTCTACAACAAACTGCCATGCCACAGCTTTTATAAGCTGTGGCCATGCGTCGATGCCGTTCGGTTTTAATTGCCGTCCACAACACAGCAAAATGCTGATCGGTTTCCTTTGACCCAGACCGCCAAGAATCGGATACATAATCCCTAGCCGCGCGGCTTTGGAATCATACCGAACAACACGTAGGTAGTACATACTTGTGATGCAAAACCGATTGGCAACGCCGATCGGCATAGTGCGGATGTGCCTTTACGATTGCTGGCGCAACCGCAGAACTGAATGCCATAAGTCCAAACTGGTTTGAGGATAGGGTAAGTCTGGAATAGTTGGACCACTTTTTTGAAAATTTACCTGCATCGTTCAATAATGTTAGTAAAAGTATGAACGTTTGTAGCATTTATTACAAACAAAAGTATCATGTAATATGAACAAAACTAAAAAAAATGAATTTCAAAGAAAGTTAAACTAAACTAAAAATCAAATTATTGGGTTAGACAGACCTGTTTAAGGTTAGATGGATCACTAGTTCGGGACAGATGAGCCAGTACAAAATTCCTGAATAATTATTGCATTTAATTTTTTTTTTTTTTCGTCAATTTTTCCTCTTTTAACGCTTATACCTGTCATCACTGATGAGTCCAACCTTTGCTAATAATGCAGCAGAGCCATTCAACTTTGTTTTTTGTCAGAAATTCCTCGCCACAACCTACGTACTCTGTATTGACTTCTTCTTCGCCTTCACTACTCTCATCATCTAATAAGGGACTGTCAGAATCAAAGGAGTCAGAAGTAGGTACTTTTGCTCTTCTTAATGGGCACTTCCCTCTTTTAGAAGTATCATTTTGTTTTCGCAATACTTCCTATTCTTAACAGCCTCGATATTTTCTGGTGTATTGAGAACCTCGGCGAGCTGGCGTACACGTCTCATGATCTCAGAGGAATTGATGGTATTTGGTATAGCAGTTGCCCGACCGCACAGGAATTGATAATATTTAATCTGCGACAGGTTTTCGGGACGTAGGCACACGAATCACTTTGTCAACATGATAAGAGTAACTTAGCTGTAAAAAACTATTGATGGAGGACATATCATTGTTAATACTATCGGCAGTATCGGTATTACTAACTTACGAAATTATCTGTATATTGTTTTCAGGAGCAGGCTTAATGTTTTTCTCTGTAATAAGGTAAGCGTATTCTGGAATGATATTTGGCATTGTCTACAGTCGCAGCTTTGTTCCAAGAGCAACCTAACAATTCACCAAACCGGAGCCTACCAAGTTTTCTTGCAGGATTTGCTTTCATGAAGCTATTACAAACAGAGTAGTAATAGCTCTTTAACGACTTGAAAAATGATTGATCGAACGGTTACAGGAAGTGAGTTGTATGAGCTGGCAGACACATATCCTGTCCATCTAAGATCAGCAGGACTTTCTCACTTGACTTGCATGAATTTTCAACTAGTGAAGAAATATATTAGAATTTATGTATGCAGACTTTTCTGGCATCATGACAACTGATTTGAGAATTTGAGAAGTTGATGTTTGCAACACATTTTGATCCTTTCTTAGCTAGTACCTTGTCCGGCTTATTGTTAAACTGTAGTCCAGTTTTGTCTACATAAAATATGTGACCCGGTTTATTATTTAAATCAATGTCTAAGATTTGAGCCAATAAAAGAAAATATTATTTTTCCTTGCATGAGCCTGTTGCTTACTTTTATGGATTGCAATCTCTGAGTGGCGATTGGAGCCTGAGCCTTTTATTTATCATTATTGAAAGTGTGTGATTTTAAGCTTTTCTTCTAATTCGTATGTCATTTTCCCAACACTATCTCTATCTGGCGCGAATCCATGTTTTTGTAACTTAAGGATGTGAGTCACCAATTTGTTTTCAAATTTATTACCTTGTTGAGACTGCGGCTCAAGACGATTAGTTTTATTACTATAAAAAATCTTTAATCTACGTTTCAATGTAGTTTTCGGAATTCCAAACTCTCTAGCTGCTTCATTAACGCCCATTGTGCCGTTTGCTACAATTTCCATTGCGCTAAACAGGATTAAGTGGCCATATTTTCTCAATTGATATGTTGTGACTTTCATTTCATCAAATCGCAACTACAAGCGACATCTATTGGAAGACCCTTACACAAACCTCCCTGGTCTGTCTATCCCGTTGATTCAACTAAATATACCGGACTTACCCTATAAGTAGATTGGCTGGACTGACTACCAAGCAACCAGTGCATTTTCTTGAATTCTATATCTAGCTCTTGTCTTTTCTTTTCTAATGGACCTTCCAGCAAAGTTTTGAATCTATTGTAATACCTAGATATTTTGCTAAGTTAGCATAAGGAATTATAGGGGCATTATTTATGATAATTGGTATTTGTTGAACATTTTTGTTAGTAAAATTAATATTAAGAGATTTGGTTTAGTTTGATCCAGTTATTTATTTGATTCACTGATATTTATATTTTATTTCCAGCCTCTTCGTGATATTTGCCTACCACTAGGATGATAGTTTATTTATTGAATTTATTTGAAATAGTTTTTAACTTCACGTAAATAAAGAACGGTCTGTAACTTATTTCTGAAGGTTGTAACCATGTCGGTGATTCATATTAGGTTAAAGTATGGCCCAACAAAACAACTTGTGTGAGCAATATTTTGTTTCAGGTGGTTCTTATCATTGCTATTAGCGGCGCTTGTAGAAAACATGAATTAAGAAACATACAACCTGAACATGTATCAGATACAGGCGATTCATTAATCATAACTATTCCGGATCCGAAGAAGACATCGCATAGATCTTTTGTTATTTTAGAACCATTTTATTCCATGTGTAAAAAGTACATGAGCCTACGGCCTACAGGAGAGGATATGAAATATTTAGCTTTTTTTCTTAATTATCAGAAAGGAAAATGTACGAAACAATGCGTTGGAATAAATAAACTCGGTAGCGTACCTAAAAATATTGCTAAATTTTTAGGATTACGGGATGCAGATCAATATACTGGCCATTGTTTTAGGCGCGCCTCATCTACCATCTTTGATTCTAGTGGTGATCCACTTGCCTTATAATATTACTTTCTTTCCTGTTGCCGAATAACCCTGTTTTACTAGTTATTTTAAATATATCTTTTAATTTTTAATATCCTTGGACTTCTTGCTGGCTTTTTGCCTATGCCTTATTCATATTATAATATCGCTATTACCGCACCACCATAAATATACCATAAGTTTGAAGCTATTTTTTTCTGTGCCTTTGACTGGATTTAGATAATTCTTTTTTCATTAAATGAAAGGGTAGGGAAGAAAAAAGGCCCTTTGTTTTCTCACAATGATATGTATTTCTAATGTGACCTGTTTCTCTAATCCACTAGATGATAAAACTACAAGGTACAGTATAGGCGAAATGAACAAAATTTTATAATTTTATAAAAACCTGTTATTATTTAAAAGGAGTGACTACATTTGGTACAAATGATAAAAACAATGATATTAAAAAGGAAAGGTTTGTTATAGCAAACAATAAAATAAATAAAATAATTTTTAAAACATGTTTTTAATTTAATAAACCAACTCACACTTGTCTACCCCAAATTTGTATTCTTTTTTCACCTCATAGATCAGTTTGTAAGGAATAACTGTAGCAATGTTGAGGAATACCAATATTTTTCCCATATACAGGTGTAACAATCAAGTAATTTTTTTTTAATTTTGAAATACCCTTTGGAATTTATAAGAAGCAACCGCTACATCTCATTAACATTGCACCGTAGCTTTATATTTTTTCAATATTTTCGTAAGATCGTTTAACGCAAACGCAAAAGAGGAACTCCTAAAAATAAGCACTACTGTTTTGGAACATTCTGAAAATGCTAGTAGATTTTTGATAAGTCTAAAAGAAATCGTCTAAAAGAAATCACAATGTATCCTAGGAGGATGCACAATGAACCTAATAAGATCTAAGTGATGTGATCAATATAACTTTTTTTTGTTTAAATTAGGCTTAGGAACATAATTAAGTTTTAGATAGTTTACCAGTGGCGGCTCGTGAGCTGCGAAGGTAGGGGTGCCAGTTGGCATGAGGGTGGGGATTTTAAAAAATTTTGTTTTTTTATTTATTTTTATTTGTTCATTAACATAGAAACAATATCACACTACACACTGCACCTTGTCATTAGTCAATAAACAAAATGAAATATATTTCTTGTAGTAAAACGTCTTACAACATGACAGTTGGCATATTTATATTGTTTTTACGAAAGATCATGACATGACTTCCTGAAATTGAAATCTGCTCTACGATCCTCCATTGAAATAAATTTTTCCATTAGTTTTTCGTCGAAATTATCTCCAGAACTAAATTTCTGTTTATTGATAGCATAACCAAGGGGTTTAGTCTATCAATTAGAATTGTGCTTCGTAAAAATTCCATGAAAATTACAAAGCCAGTAAAACGTCATCTTCAAAATTATATATGATGACCGGCAGCGAAAAAATTGCGCCCCAATCTGCACTAAAAGACGTACTCGTTAGCGCGATAGCGTCTGTCTTGCTGCAGCCGACGATAGTCCAGTGAAAGAGATCATAAATTGTTATTATAGGAAGGATTTGGAAGGGACTTAATAAATAACACTCATAGCCTGTGTCTAGACGATAGGAAAAATTATAAAATAAACAAATAAATAATTTTAATTAGGATTTTATTCTCTGGTATTTATGAGGAGGGGCGTGCGGCCATGCGATCTTAAAGAGTAACCAAAATCAATTAAGGATATGTGTAAAATTGAAGTATGCACTAGTCAGGCCAGTAATGGTAGGTGAAAAGAACATCGAAGTAATATGCTTACTGCTTCAAATTTTGGAACCGTTTGAAATTATCGAAAACAACAGATCCAAAAAGAAATTTTATATCATTTTTATCCTTTTATGGATCAGCTGCTACAAAATGGGGACAAGATTATGAATCTGTTGCGATAAAAGAATTTAAAAATAAATATAGAAAAATGGTACAAGAACATGGACTAGGGAGCAAGTTCAGACAGAATTATTAATAATAATGATACTAGAATTAAGATATAGTTGGCATATATTATACTCTACACAGTTAAACAGATGCCCCTTAACCTCCATCAAAATCAATAGGCTTTGTCCCCTTATAAATCTTAATTATTCCTGAAGATATCAGTTTGAGATCGTTTATTGTTAGGATTTTTTTCAATATTTCAACCCCCTTATCCTCAATTTTTATTCAGATTTTTTTCACAATCAATAGGCTTCATTCCCTTATAGAGCTTGATTTTTACTAAAACTCATGTTGATATCGCTTTTGGTTATTGATTTCCATTTTTTTTATTTCAACCCCCATTAATACGCCATTTCATTCAGATTTTTTTTTTAAATCATTAAACTTTGTCCACTTTTAGAGCTTGATTTTCGCTAAAAATTTTAGGTTGATATTTATATTCGTTTTTTTTTTTTTTAATTTTTCAACCCCCTTAAGCCCCTAATTTTACCTTTTTTTTTCAGAATTAATTGGCTTAATCTCCTTATAGAGCTTGATTTTTACTAAAAATTTCATGTTGATATTGCTTTTTGTTTTTGATTTATGTTTTTTTTTAATTTCCTACCTTTAACGCCCCATTTTAATCAGATTTTTTCAAAATCAAAGGACTTTTTCCCTCATAGAGCTTGAATTTTCCTAAAAAATTTAAGTATATAACAGTTGTTTTTTGTTTTTGAGTTGGGATTTTTGTATTATTTCAACCCCCTCAGATTTTTTCAGTATCAATATTCTTCATCTCCTTATAGAGCTTGATTTTTTACTAAAAATTTCATGTTTTAATTTCAACCCCCCCCCCCCCCCCATTGTTAATTAAATTTTTTTAAAAATTAATAGGCTTCGTCACCTTATAGATCTTGATTTTTGCTAAAAAGTTGATATAAATTTTTGTTTTTGAGTTTGAAATACATACAAAATTTTATGATTTTAATGATCTTTTATTAATAAATAACTAATGTTTTCTCTTTTTCGCCCTTTGTGAGCATAAAAGAAATTTACTTTACCGCCTGGACTTAATCGCCCGGTCGTGCATAAAAATTATTATTGCATTTTAATATTACACACTTGTTTGTAAATATATATTTTTTTCTACGATTACTATCCAAAGTAGGCTTTTGCGCTTCGAAATACAACCGCAAAGTTGACGTTTTCTGCGAACTGACATTAAGTGACAGATTTGTCGCTCGCCGAGCGGAAAACTTGACAGCTTTGTTGCACGACAAATTTTAATTAGATATAATATAATAATATTTCTTTTAAATAAATGATTTTCAAATTATTTGTACGTAGTTTGATGTTTTTTGTTTTAATATCAGAGTTAACATTGACTTTGAATATCAACTTCGTTTTTCATGATTAACGTAGATAAATTATAGACTAATTATTATCTTTTTATTGTATTTAATTCAGAGCTGTGCGTAATTATCACGAACATAACTCGGATATCTGTGTTTGTTTGTCGGTCATAGCTCACTTTAGAAGCATTTTTTGTGGGCCACTCTTTATTATGTGCTAGTACCACAATCACATGAGCTTGGAATAGTTATTTTGCACAAGTAGTACATCGTACTTGTTCTACGACCACAATGACTAAAAATACCATTCAAACATTTACTTATTACAGAAATTGTTACTAACGACATTACAATTATCAGAAATATTAATATATTATAGTACATTTTGAAATTTGGTTGTTTAAGACATAAAATTATATTTTTTCAGTCATATTAAAGGTTATACAATTGAAAAGAGGTAATGTTTTCTATTTGCTGGTTCGATGTAATGTTTGCGTCGTTTTTACCTGACGATTCCTGAAGTCTAAGAGTTCTGTTAGTCTTGTAGAAGGTTTAAAATAATTGTGCTCCACTCAAGAATATCAAATTTTTCACAAAATTCTTTATTTGAGTTTTACAGGTTGTGTCGGAAAATAATAGGGTACACTATCACAATACAATTAACTCGTGCCAAAGTCTGTTGCGAGAATGTTAAAAATTAAATTAATTTAAAAAAAAATGTCAACCTGTTGTCGGTGAAGACGGTGACGTAATTTGCCAGTAACTCCCTAAATCTAACGTCGTTATTGTTTAAACTGAAACAAAAAAATTTGTAATTTTTTTCAAAGTCAACGTTTAATACTTTTGAAGATAATAAAGGTTTATTAAAATAATAATTTAGTTATTTGTAGTTCGTTCAACCGTATTTCAACTGTAATTGCATTTATATGTTTCGGATTATTTAAATAAATCATACATTTTAATTGTTTTTTTATTCCTCACGTACCTCCTATTCATTACAATAAATAAAATCAGTTAATTTTGTAGGACATCAGAAGACATAGATTATTCTCTACATCAAGTCTTCAAAATTGAAGACGACGTCGAAGAATACTTCGAGTTAGAAATAGAAACGGATAATTGGGAACATGACGGAATCCAAAGTACATTTGTTAATGGGCAAGTGATAATTAAAAACGGACATATTCGTATTATCGATAAAAGTGCCGATTCTAAAAACCAAAAAATCGAAGAAGGCCTTATGGATAAACCTGAAAAGGTAACGGTAAAATACAAGTGCCACTTCTGCGACTCAGTGTTGACGTCAAAGGACGAGCTTAGGAAACATATTGAACAGGAGCTTAAGAAGAAGCCGAGAATTAGAGCGAAAAGACATGCAAAACAAAAGTTGAATTATACAGTCAAATGTGAACATTGCCATCAAGGCTTCATTACTGAAAGAGTGTACAGGATTCATATGAAAACAGTTCATAATGTAATCATTTTAGATTAACGTATGTCACATAAGTTTAATTCTTTATAATAAGTACATATATAACGTAATTTACCAACATTTTACCTAATATCTACATTAATTAAATTTACAACTAAAATAATGACAAGGGACCATGGTTTTCAGTGGTACGCAGTTTTGTCTAACTTATTCAATCATGTTTTGGACGATGTTTGTATTAATTTCTCTTATCTTTTGTTATATTCTACGTCTTTGTTTCGCTTTATTTTGAGCTTCCCACCCATTACCATGTATTTTTCTGGTCAATAGTGAACAAAAATCTTCGATGGGTCGAGCCTGTGGTACATTTGACGGATTTTTAACCCTTAGCACAAAAGGTATGTTTTGAGCTTCTAAATTGGTGCATTTTCGGTAGACATTTCTCGGCATAAACATTTGCGATAGCTGCTTTGCCCTTCACATGTCCAATATATGTTCTTAAAACTCTGCTTTTCGATATAGCACACCAAACCAGAAATATTAGACTAGTGGATTTTAAAGATAATTTATTTGTAAAAGCAACGTTAGCTGGTCCTTCGAGCTGGAGCAGTGAAATGATTACAAGAAGTAAAATCAATGAAAAAAACGTTCTAGCTAAAGCTCCACAAAACATTTTCAAATAAGGTGACGTAGAGTACACAAAGAAGAGTACTACTAAGCAAATAAATGTTAATAGTATAGGTGGAGTTTAGAAGGATTCCAAGAGTATGAAGAAAGATGATAATTATTGGAAGGAATTAAAAGGCTCAAGAAGTTCATCAAAAAGCGATAACAAAACTGTACTGTCTAAAGCAAAGCAATATTAGTATCTCTAGAAGAAGATTGACAGAAGCTGAAGGAAAGCGGAATCTACTAGACTAATTCTAATTATAATAAGTCTATAGTTACAATTATAATATTAATTTCAACAAACAATTTAAAATCTAACACCTTTTATTTCTGAGAGGCAGAATGTGAAATATTTTTCAGCGTTTATTATGATCACTTTATTGTTTGCAAAATGATTTCGACGTAATTGAGATTCTTCATAAATGATCCTCTGTAGAACGTGGACACTTACGTCTTTTACGGTAAGTACTTCAAGCCTTTTTTCTGCAATACCCTTCTTAAAGTTTCATGAGAAACATTCAAACTTCTGGATAACTTTCGATATGATGTTCCAACTCGTTCCTTTCCACTTTCATAGATTCAGTTGGCGCGATTTTATGTCAACAACTTAGGACATCCACTTTTTGATAAATTTATGCATGGTTTACCCTGTTCATGTTCTGCAATTATTCTGTAAATGGTCGTGTTTGAAATTTTTTGATTGCGAAAATTGTTTACAATGTATCCCTTGTTGGAAATGCTTTTTATTGGACATGATAACCAGTTTGAGTGTTCATGAATATTTGTTTATGATGGTGACTAGATTGTCAATTTACATTTATTTTTAAGCCGACGAAAAATAATATTTCTTATCGATGGAGTTTTTCGTTTTTTGCTGACAAGGCAATACTTTGCTTCTAGACGTCTATAATATTAAAAAAATCGATTTTGCTACCATCGATATAGGGAAAGTCCTACACTTACACCGAAAGTGGCAAAACGAAACGACAAAAAATGTTTCTAGATATCTATAAAACTATTGGTTCACACTTTTGGCCACTTTCTGCTTTTTGGTTAACACTTTTTGAGATAAACACTAATATGAAATTGTCCACTTTACTTCTACACTCCATAACGATGTGCTAGCCAGCGTTGGATGTCAAATGTCACCTGTTGATATGTCAACTAGGGTGAGTAAAAAACCCGGTATAGTAGTTGTGGGTAACTCTATCCAACATAAGTGTGATTCAATAAATAAAGATACACATTATCACTGAATAATATGATTGAAATAAAAGTTTCTCATTAATAACAAAATTTTTCATGCTAATTCTTTGAATGCAGATTATTAATAAAATGTACGCTGACTTTGTCATTTAAACTACATCATAAACCCTCTTTTATCTTAAATATATCAGATTTTTTTTTTAATTTTTATATCATTTAATTTTTTTCTTGTCTCGATATTTAGGATCTTTTTTTATCTTATACGGGTTAATGTTTATTTTTAAAACATATTCTTAATAACTTCTACGTATTAATAGATATAATAATATGTTTTAGATTCTATAGAATAATTTGGTTTTGTGTTTATAAGTATTCTGTACAATTTTAACATAAATATACAGGGAGTATCTATGTTCTAATTTTTGAGACATAAAGTAGATTTAATTCTATAGACCAGTCGAATTAACTTATTTAGATAAAAAAAAATTAAATTGTTAACAGGACTTTGATAAGTGTAAATGGTAGAGGGGCTTATAATAAATTAAAAAAAATAAATTCAATCTGGGGGGGTTAAAGTAAAGTTGTAGGTGGTTGAATAGGGGAGAAAAATGGTTTTATCGCGTTTTCCGGCGAAAGTTGACGTCAAAAACAAAAATGTATAATGCAAAATTTGTAGATAGAGCAATAGTCTACAGCTTTTGTAGAGGTCACTTTTTAACATAACCTCGAAATGTTCGATAAAAATTCAATATTTTTATTTTTTCTTTTTCCAAAAATATTTCAATTTTGATTACATTTGATGAAATTATACCTTTTTGTGACTTAAATAAGCAAAAAATTTTTAAATTAAAAAATATATTAATTTTTTTCGGTCAAAACACTTTTATTTAAAAAGAAATTCTGCGGTGAAAAATTATCGTATAAAGTTCTCCAGGTACTTATTTTTTAGTGTTGACATGTAGTTTTTGATAAAACAAAAAAAATATAGTCACCATTAAAAGTCATGCTCAAAAAGGGATATAAACAAAAAATATAATCCTTAATTAATGATTATATGGAAATAATATAAAAGCAACTGTTTTTTATTTTTCGACCAGAATTTTTATTTTTCTATACAGGGAGAGGACTTTAACTGGAACTAATTCGCTAGAGCCGCAGGATAAAATATTTGGTTAAGGTTTAAATGGACCCGCATGTTTTTCGTTTCGCCAAAGCGAGATGGCTCTACAAGCAATACGTTCACATTTTATGAATATAGAAAACTATTAACCTCTCTACTGGATTTCAAACTGTAAAAAAAACTTTCGCTAATACTCACTAGATGCTGCATGGAAATAGAGCGGTTCTTTCTCGTTATGCACTATTGGCATATCTACACCAGTCATTTTACGTGTTTTTGATCTGTGCCTAGTGTTGTTTTTGAGTGACTTATTGTTTTATGTATACTATTTCTCATTAAGTTTTTGCGTTTATTATTAAAAATGCCCCTTGTACTCAAGAAAAAGTCAAAAAGAGACTTACATTTAAAAAGTAAGTATATAGGATTGAATTACTACACATAAAATGTTTATATTAAAAACCCTGATTTCTATCACAATCGAAATAGGTAGAATTATTGAAGATTAAAAAAATTGTTGATTTTTCTATAACACCTGCAAGAAAAGTACAATAACTTCACGTAAAATTAGGTTACGTTAGAAGTTCATAAAATAAGCATTTTTTTGGTAAATTATCCTATTTAAATAATATAAATACATAGGTTTGTAAACATTGATTTATTTATAATTATGCAATCCACTGCCTTAAAAAAAAAACAGGTCAAAGAAGAAGGATAAAAGTGTGTTGCCACATATTTGTTTCCTAAATACTTGGATGTTCTTTATTTTCATAGTAGTACCTATCTTTGAAAATAAACCAATTCAAATATTCTTTTAAACATAAGACATCTATTGATTTTACTTTTTATTTTAAAACAATGTTAGTTTATTATAAATAGTATTATTATTAAAGTGATAAATGTAACAAAGAGCCTGTTTATACAGGGTCTTTAATTGGAAATAAAGAATTTGGCGAAAATTTGACAACGCGGACCGATCTCCGATCATTCACTGAAATATTGCACGTTGCACAGAAGGTACAAAACAAAGGTATCTAAACAGGTAGATGGACAATAAACTTTTAAAAAAATAGGATATAGATTTTGCATTTCCGTTCCAACCGTATGGTTTCTAGCGGGTGTTTAAGTTAAAATATTGTTTTCGTTTTTTGCTAAGAATTTTACAAAATATTCATATTATTAAAATTGACACAGAGGCATAACTTTACGGAAGGAATATTATTATTTTATATTTTGTTACAGGGTGTGCGATTCCCGATAATGAAATTGAGACATACCTTTCTTCGATGAAACTTTTTAGTAATTTTGATATCTTATTAGCTGGACAATAAACAGTTATATTATAGATTTTGTCAAACATAAAATATACCTTTTTTCTAGGTAATTTTGATTAGAGAATATGATACAAACATAATTTTTGTGTAAAACTGTTCTACTTTTGTTTAAACTTAATAATTTTAACCGTTTTTGAGAAACACGCAATTGAACACTTCAAAGTTTGAAAATGTTTTAAAATAATTAAAAGTAGACAAATTTGTAACTCCGAATAATAAACAAAATAACTCAATAAAATATTTGATAAACAAATAAAACGATTTTGATTAAAATTTGGGAAGATACTAGCCAATATCTTATATATACCCATGAATTTTTTGAAAAATTTTAAAATTGTAGTTAGTTTTTCCGAGGGTCCACTTAAACCTTAAAACGCAAAAAACAGGTCGATTGAGTTTTTTGTGGTCTTTCCTGTCATATTAATTAATTTTTTTAAATGGGATTATACTACTTGTAACATCTTGTTAGAAAGCTCTTTTAACAAAAAAAATTACTGTGCCATTTTTTTTTTTATTTTAATTTGATAGCTTATATATACACAGTTTTCTTTAATAAATGTAAAGCTGACCGACCTCACACAAAAATCAACATTGTAACTAGGTATGTTGCATAAGTTTTAAGAGTAATGCTCTCAAATAAATTTTTATACACATTTTAGGGTCTCATCTATTTTTTATTTTTATAGTAGTATTTTTAATAAAAATTTTCTATTAAATTAAAATGAGAAAAAATTGCGTAACTAATTTTATTTTTAAAAGAGCTTTCAAACAAGGTGCCACAAGTAGTAACATCCCATTTAAAAAATTCAAATATTTTATTCAAATATTTTATCCTGCAGCTTTAGCGAATTATTTCCAGTTAGTCCCCACCCTGTATACAAAAATAAGAATTCTGCTTAAAAAATAATAAACAGTGGCCTTTATATTTTTCCATAAAATTGAATGGCACAATCAGTTTCTATTATTTTATTTATATTCATTAATTCATTGTTGCCAATGTTATTTTTGTTTTTATCCCTTTTTGAGCATGTTTTTTATGGTGACTATAATTTATTTGTTTTATCAGAAACCCACTGTCAAAATGAAAAAAATAAGCACCTGAAGAACTTTGTACGATAATTTTTCATCGCAGAATTTCTTTAAAAAAAAAGTGTTTTTGACCGAAAAGAATTAATATCTTCAAATTTTTTAAATTTGTTTGCTTACTTAAGACACAAAAAGGTATAATTTTACCAAATTTCATCAAAATTGAAATATTGTTGGAAAAAGGAAAATAAAAATCGAAAGTAAAAAAATTCGAGCGAATTTTTGCATTTTTATCGAAAATTTTGAGGTTATTTTAAAAAGTGACCTCTACAAAAGCTGTAGATTATTGCTCGACCTACAACTTTTGCATTATACATTTTTGTTTTTGACGTCAACTTTCGCCGGAAAACGCGATACCATTTTTCGCCCCTTTTCAACCCCCTAAAACTTTACTTCAGCCTCCCCTCTATCATTTACACTTATCAAAGTTGTTAACAATTTTTTTTCTCAAAAATTTAATTTGATTGGTCTATAAGAGTAAAAAGTGGTAGATCGATTCTTATCTGTTTTGAAGTTACAAAACTATACGTCGGTTGCAAGGACGTTTTTTAGTATAAATCACGCCATTCAGACAGGTCAGACTGATAAAGTTATAGGATTGTTAGCTATCGATATATTTAACGTGTTCCTATAACGGGTTGTATGAATTTTATCAACAAAAATAAAATGTGACTAATATCAACTGTAAATATTAATGTTTATTTCCAAAATGATATCTTAATAACGACGTTTGATTTATTTGAAATGTTTTACCTTTTATAATAACCATAACTATAATGCAAACGAAAATCGGTAATGTATTTTAAATAAGCTAATTGTCCACTTAGAACATTAACTCTTTGACCAACAAATAAATGTTCTTATATTTTACAGTTATTATTACCTCAGATAGGTTATTTTTTTAAGGTGAAAATTGATCTACTCCTTTATGATTCCAAAATTTTAACAAATCAGTAGGGGACAACCTGTATAATGATGAAAGTGCCTTAGAAACAGGTTGTATGTATATGTAATACATCTGTGAACTTTTCGATAATTATTTATTTCTTACGTTGATCCAATAATATATTATTTAATATAAATATATTCTTATGTATTTTCAAGTTTAAATTTGGTATTTTTTTTGTGCACCTGATTTGATAGCCAAACTTTTTTGAATATACCAGGTTTTCGCGCGAAAACTTCGATTGTATTTGTTTCTGATAACATTTTTAATATGTAATTTTGAATATTTAGATAGAATTTTTAATTAAAATATCTTAAAAAGTAATCTATGTAACATATAACTTTTTTTATTATTAATGTATTCAAGAAAGTATGTTCTTTTATAATCCTCGATATAATACTGGGTGTCCTTGTGTTATAAAAAATGTTGACGTAAGGGTAGCTTGGGGCGAAGCACATGCCTAACCCAAAAATTCAAGAAATAAAATTAAATTCTACCAAAAATAAAGCCAGTCGAAGTTTTCGAGTGGAGACAAGGTAGATAATTTTCAAAAATTTGAAAATTGAGAATATTTTGGTAGGTATGCACTAGGCACTCAAGTATACCTATAAATCGTAAGTCTGTCTACTACATATATCTTCAGTGATCAGAAAATGCTGTTAAATTTAAGAGTATTTTCGATAAAACAAATTACTATACGTTTTCCTGAAATACCATTAAATAGGAGTGAGTAAAAAGTAAGTAGTTTTCAAATGAAAAATGTAGATTCCTTACCTAAAATAAAGCAGAGTTTTTCATTTAACGGTTTTTTATCCCTCTTTACTACCTACTTTTAAAGGGAGACTTTTGATTTTGAATTAAACATTTTAAAAACTGAAAGTGAAACTTGGCAAACGTTCACTTTTATTTTTGAATTTGAATCATACATTTATTAAGATATTAAACTTTTTGTCTTGTAGTACATACTTTTCTCATTAATATATTTTAGCTAGAAGTGAGGAAGTTCCTATCAAATTCTTTCAGTGACTCATTATGTCAGAAAATCTCGAATTCTCTTTACCTATTGGAAAACGTGGCAATGTTGTATGTCTGTTTGAATTCATAAAATGGTCCGGTAAAACCATAATCGTGCTCTGAATACATTTTTTTGCTTAGAGTGCATGATTTTCACCGTAATATTATGGTTTTTTGCAAACGGTTCGTAGACTAAAACGGTGGCCTCATCCCGGTTGCTAAGGACAGAGTGACGTCACGGATTGAAAAAGTGAGTTGATAGAAAATATTCTACTTGGGTTCATACATTAGTTTTTTAAAAAATGTTACTGTTATTTAGCGTTTATATTTTTATTTATGAACTATGTTCTAGTGTTAGAGTTTTCATAATATCGGTAGTTTGATAACATTTTGGGCTAGGGTACGGCCTCCGAACCGAACTCGGGACACACTTTGTTTATACCGTGAAACATTTTGAAATTTTACAAACAAAATTATTAGAAGAAAGGGACTGAACATAAACTGAAATTAAAGTCTAATACTAAGATTTTAGAGTAATATTCTGCAATTATCATTCATAGTGAATGATTTAATTGATTAATAATAGTTATTAAATTAATTGCAGGTTTTTCCACACTACTTTTAAAAGCAGATAGATGGGTTCTTAAACACAACTAAGAGTAAGAAAAGTCAATGGGCTTTACCAGAAGAACATATATTTTTGAAAAAAGGGTTTTCTGCAGGAAGTTTTTAGTAAAAAATTAGTCACAAATCATTTTAAAGAGACTTCAGAAGAAATTTCTAAAGCATTTACGATGAGACATTTAAGTAAAAGTTGCTATCTTTACCTCAAAAATACCTTGATAGGGATTTCAACTTTACAAAAGTGCTTTGGTTATGTTTGATGCTTTTAACTGTAGGGTGAACAAAGCTGCAATTAATTTAATAATATTGAATGATAATTGCAGAATAATATTCTAAAATCTTATCATTAGCCTTTAGTTTAGGTTTAGTCCTATTTCTCTGATTTTTTTTTATTTTAAACATTGTGTCTGCAAACAGCAACACCACATCTCACTCCAGGCATGCTAAAATTTTAAATTATTTCAAGGTTTAAACAAAGTGTGGTCCGAGTTCGGCTCGAAGGCCGTAACCTAACCCAAAGTGTTTAAAATATACCAATTACAGAATAATATTTCTCTTTATAATTCAAATAAAAAGTAATTAATTTGAAATTTTTTGGAAATAATTACATGATTTTTTCTTGCGGTTTTGTAGCTTATCGTTTAAAAAATCAAATTACTGATATAACAGAAACTCTAATACTGGAAAATAGTCCAAATATAAAAATGTAAATACCACTAAATATTAATAAAATATAAGATTTTTTAGAAAACTAATGTACGAACTGCAGCAGAATATTTTCTGTCACCTCCATTTTTCATTCTGTGACGTCACACCCCCACATACAACGTTGCCGCGTTTTCCATAGAAATTTGGCATCAAAATTATGGTCTGTTAATATTCAATTTGAGTAATATTAATTATATCTTTACTAAAATTTAATGATAAAATTACATTTTACACAAACAGAATTTAAGTATATAAATTATATATCTAAGTGCAGAAAAATATGATATGATGATTATGATATATACGAAAAAGGGTCCTATTTAGTCATTAATATTTGTAGAATATATGATTATGTAATTCAAATTAAAAATGAACGGACCCAAGAACATACTTCAGAGGGATGCGAATAAATACATTTAATGTATTTATTAAAAATGAAATTAATATTTTAATTATATTTAAATAAAAAAAATGGAAAGTAAAATTTAGTTTTTCTCCAACCGTCAAAAAATATTTTTTTTTTTACATAGGCAGTCAAAAAATATTGACATTGTTTTACTGTTATATAGTAATACAAATTAATTGGGCACCTATATCTTCTGAACTTACCATTATATCCGGAGGTATATTTGCATGTAGTCAGGATTCATTTTTACAACTATTAAGACAATATTTACCAACAATCATAACTGTTATAATAGTCAAATTTTGTTACCAAATTATTAACGATTTACATGCTTTTAATCCTTATAATATAATATACCTTATCTATTTTACGATAATTATATAACCCAAGTATATTAAGTATAATTTTAGATAAAGTAGATTTTATGCAGGCAACACTTTGTGAATTTTTATAAATTTAAAGGAAGATTCGACATTTGATGCTATTTATTTAAAGTGTATTTATAACAGGTATGCTATAATATAACCCATTACTTTTTATTATTATTAATATTATTGTTGTTTAATTAAATGAATTCTAACTGCACCTATATTTTAGCTCGAAGAACAAAGTGTTTACCAAGAAGCGAAAAACAGGAAAGAAAAAACTGAAACCCGATCTAAAAGACCCCGAAAACAAACTGAAATGTTGCCATATCTGCGGTAAATTTTTTAAGCATCATCTGGAAAAGCATCTTCTTACCCACAGCGAGAAGAAGCCGTTCCAGTGCGACATATGCAACAAGACTTTTAAAAGGAAGAACCACATGAAAACTCACACGAAATTAATACACGAAAACACCACCATGCATCAATGCGATATATGTAACAAGAAGTTGCGGTCTAAAGACGCATTAGTGTTCCATCTCAAGAGGCACACGAAAGAGTATTGTATCAAATGTGAAAAGTGCGGGTTTGGTTTCGTACGGATGTTCGAATATAGAAAACACGTAAAAGTCAAACACGGCGTCAGCAATTTCATTTGCAACGTGTGCGGAGTGAGTTGTTGCGATAAAACGTCTTTGGAACGTCACATAGCACGTCACGCTGATGATTACGGTAAAAATCCAGGTTTCAAGTGCGAACACTGTTCCAAAAGTTTCCCGCAAGAGAGGTATTTAAAATACCACGTCAAACGTATGCACAGAGAAGACAGAAAACGGTACATATGTGATTTATGTGGCAAAGAAGTTCTGTCGAAACAATCGCTAAGAGACCATCAACTCATACATACAGGTGAAAAACCAGTAGAATGCAAAGAATGCGGCAAAAAGTTCACGATAAGCACTAGCCTAAAGGTTCACATGAGAAGTCACACCGGGGAAAGGCCTTACGAATGTAAAGATTGCGGAAGAAGGTTTACTCAAAAGGGTTCATTAAATACTCATATACGGTCTTATCACAACGGCGAGAGGCAGCACAATTGCGAAATTTGTCCAATGAGTTTTGTGACCAAAGCTATGTTGCAGCGGCATTTAATGAAACCGCATGATGCCCTATAATAAATTAAATCATCACACTTTGTAAAAAATATGTACTTACCCTAACTGTATTAAATTAAATTATATACAATGTTTTAGTCTTTATTCATAATTATTTTGCATCAACTTTCGTAAAGTTTCTTGCCTAATATTCGCTCTAAATTGTTCCAAGCATTACGGGTTGTTTACATAAACGCTTTCTTTGAGATAACCCCAAGAAAATAATTTGGAGCAGTGAGATCTGGAGATCTTGAAAGTCATCTCAAGGCTTCGTTTCTCTAAATTACTCTATTTGGGAAATGTGGCTGTGGTAGTATTGGCAGAGACACCATCTTGTTAAAACCAGTATTGTTGATCTTCTTCTTGGCGCGGGTCGAATAGTTTTCCAGCATTTCTCTGTATCAATCTCCATTTACCACTCTAGTTGCTTTCTGAACCGCGTGTGCCTCTGTAGTTTTCTCATGCATAGCAGCTCCTGATTTGAATGTGTTTGTAGCATTGTTCATAAAATCCAGGGCCCTAGTAGTCTCTAAATATCTGAACACCCACCCTTAGGCATGTATCCTCTTTCTGTACGTTCTGCATATAATCCCTAAATTCAGACCGCTAAGTCCCTTGTTTCTCGAAGAAAAAAAAAAAATTCGACGTAGAACCAGTAGAAACACTTGGTTTAAACATTTATTATAAAACATCATATCTCAGTTAATATTTGTGGCATCAATTTGATTTTTTGTAAATTGAAGTAGAAACAGTACTAACATATTTTAAGATACCACAGATTTTTTTTTTTTTTTTTGAAAATAATTTAAATCTTCCTACTTACACCGTTCTTGCAGAGTAAATTTCAACAGGCGACAAACTTTTTTATTAATGAAAATATGTTGGTAGAGAATTATATACTGCAAATGAAATGAAGGGAAAGGTTCTGAAAAGTTTTTGATGAAATAATTATTGGCCTATGACTCATAGTTTGTATATTATGAATTTTTTCTGGTATGGGTCTCGCTGGTGCGTCTCGGCTTGTCTGGGCATTGAGCGCTATTGCAATAATAAAAGAAGCAAGTAGTGTTTTCAGTGGATGAAAACTGACCCAGCTAACATTTATAGTTCCGAAGACGTAACCGCTACCAACCTAGTAACTACAAAGGTTACGGCGACCATCCACCGCTACTACCTAGTTACTAAGCTGCTATGTAATAGTTACCAAAGTGGGGAATAATTTTCAGGTAACCAAGTAGTTCCAGGCTAGTTATCGGAACTTCAACCGCCACTATTATTAAAGTCACAAAGTAGTGGCAGCCTGGTTATTGCTACGTAACAGCATAGTAACTGCTTCATCTCTATTGAACGTGGGCGTGTCCTGACTCTCTCGTTTAAATATATATGAATTTTATTTTTATTTAAAGTCTTGTTTAAAAGATATGATAGATGGCGAGGCAAGTGGTTGACTTTGTGACTTGAAAGTAATAATATAGTAGGTATGATATTATACTTTTATAATAGCGTGTTTAAAGCTATTTAGGGATATATTTGTTTAAGAAATAGTAGTTTACTGAGTAAAATATTAAGATAATTCGAAAAAATAAAAGCGCCACCCAAATTTTAGGTTTTTCATTAAAAAAGATAATAATAAAATAATAATATTAAAATAAAAAGTGATATTAAGCACTCACATAGTCCTAAGTTGATAATAATTTCAACTTTTTGGATGCTGAATTTATTTTAAACCAATGAAAATTTTAAAATAAATCAATTTTTTATGTTAACAAAATGTATATCTTATTTCTTTGGAGTTTTTTTTAACCGTAGTTCTTCCTCAAAAATACCTTTCTGTCGCACAACTAATCGAAAACTGTCGCACGGGAAATGCTGTTTAGGATGAAAGTTATCCGATTAAAACTAAAGTGCAAATTAGTGCCGTAGGAACCCATGCTAATAACACTAATTAGGTCAGCGTCTCATCCACATACTTTGATTTTCTTTTACGTCTCATCGCATTACTAATAATGTCATGCTGAAGATAGAGTACAGCCAGCTGGATATGGAGAAACATTCGAAACATGGTGAAGTAATATTTTAGGATACTGTAACAAAAAACTAGTCTTAAGAATCAGTGTAACGACTGATAGGTCTTTAACAACTATTAGCAATATCCCCAATCTGGTTTCATGACAAAACAGTGCATGACAAAATGGCGCAAGAAAAAATAACGCATGACAAAATAGCGCAAGGACAAAATAGCTCAATACAAAATAGCGCAAGGACAAAATAGCGCACGGCAAAACCGCGTAGGACAAAATAGTGCAGGACATAGAAAGGGAGTGTCAAAATATTCCAGTATTAAACTTAAACTAATTTACCTAACCCGGGCGACTTAAAACCTTCGCATGTTGCTTTAAAAAATAAGTGACAAAATTGGAAAAAATTAAAAAAAGTAACTATATATACAGCAATCCGCCATGGCTCCAGGCCGCACAGGTTAGGTAAATTATTTTAAGTTTTTTTTTTATTAGGATACTGGCATATTTTGTCACGCGTTAATTTGTTTCATTCTTTTTTGACAAATCGCTAACTTAACTCTCTATAATTAGACGAGGCGTTAATTGGTCTCACTTTATTTATATCAGGCGTTAACTTGTCTCTCACGTATTTGTCTCGGTGCAAATTTATCCCGCACGAAATCGTTTCGCGATAAAATGGGTCGGGTCCTAAAATGTAAGACAAACGGAGATACCCTTCAAACATTCTCTACATAGGCGTCATTGGAACAGTATTTGTTAGGCATTGTTTCAATGAATTTTATTAATTAAAAAACATATATTGTTAGTTACGCGCTATTTGGTTCTTGCGCCATTTTGTCCTGCGCTATTTTGTCTTTGCGCTATTTCTTCTTTGCGCCATTTTATCATGAACTATTTTGTACTGTGCTATTTTGTTCTTGCGCTATTTTGTCTGCTCTACTTTGTCTTGCGTCATTTTGTCCTGCGCTGTTTTGTCATGGAGCCTACTATCAAGGCATGAAGGCAGCACTGTCACCACCAAAAGGATCCTGGAGTATTGAAGGAAAATCAATTCACAGTGGTAAAAAAAAATAATTAAAAAAGAAATTCTGCGTTAATCAGCAAAGAAAACTTGTTTTTCGTGCAAAATTGTTTTATTTAAAAAATGCAAAGCATTACGCCATCTTCAGTGCTTATTGTCCGTCAAAGACATCCAAAAAGTTTAAAGGTCATCCGATATCCAATAATTAAATGTTGGAGTATCCCACCTTGCTAAATAGTCATTATTATTTTATTTAAAATTGTTTTTGGTTTATTGGTTAAAAATTAAAGGTTTTCGACCAATTTATATAAGCGATTTTATATCTAAAACATTTTTCACATCTAGCACACAAATCGCTGCACAAAATTTTACTTTGCACATTAGAGTGCTTCGGGGCATACGGTCTCGAAGGAACCGTCTCTACCTTTCGGTAAGAGTTTAGGGCAGCAGCCCAGTCTTCTTCTGTCAACTATCAATTTTCAACAAAATTTACGTTACAGGTTAATTATTATCAACTTATCACCTTGGATAATTCTTTAGTTTGTAAACCATTGAGTGGAGATATAATCTAATTATTGAAGACTTTCTTTCAAAAACAACACATGTCTAATTAAGTTAACTGTGACTATTAGTGGCCAAGTGATTTAATTATCGACACAAACGTTGATTTTCTACAAAAGTGACAGAGAAACAAAACTTCACTGTCAAATATAGAGCTTTTCTACAAAATCTAATGAGACAGGTATGTTTTTCCTTCCTGAAAAAAAAGTGATTTTGGACATGCGTCGTTTTTATAAAAAGGTTTTTAATTGTTTGTTTTATTTCAATACATACATTGTTTTGTACTTGTCTTGAATGAAGCAGAAAGGTAAGTAATAGACGTATTTTATTTTAGAACTATCATTCAAGAATTACGTTAGTATCTCAAAAGTATAACAGTATTTTTTT